CCTCTCCGCCCGCTTCCGGCGACCATGGCCGCCGAAGGTGTCAGTCTGGCGTGTGGGCTCCGGTCGGTGGGGCTGACCAGGACGGCCCGTCACGCTCCTAGCTAGTGCGTCCAGCTTCTTTCAGGTACCTTCCCGTGTTAGAGCATTTTCTTGAAATTCTTGCGGGACGAGAAATGTTCCACTTGCGGCAAGAGCCAAATATGGACTAATCTTTCCTCGACACCCCTCTCGTCACTCCGTGTCGGCCTGCAGTGTCCCCTGGAAGAGTTTCTGTTGGTCAAAATACATCCCGCAGGGACACTGTGCGAACTTTCAAGACGCGGTTAGACAAGTGGGAGCCATCGTGGAGCCAAGAATTTCACCAAAGAATTATTAATTTACAGCTGTGTGATTTCCGATCTCAGTTTAGATTTACAGACTTTAGATCGTCAAAATGCTTACCTATTTGAAGCTTAGATGCCTCACAGGAAAAGAAATCAGTCATAAAAGGAGGTCGAGGGAACACTGGATCCAAAGAACTGGGAAAAACTTAACTATTTAAACGTTCAGGGAGCAGAAATAATACAAGGAACCTCAAGTGAAAGCAGCCCATGGTCAAACACACTTTTGCATCTAACATTTAGGTGATGTTGATAATACTTTATCTTTGCCAGCACAAGAACGTTTGTCAAGGAATAGAGCGTGTTTATATACCCCAAGATGACTTAAAAGGAAATTAGCTGCGAAGTATTCTTTGAAAGCTTATGCAGCACGTTTTTCTTAAAGATTCTTTAACACAAAATTTTGAGATTATTTACTTCAGAGACAAAGTGTTTTTAAGTAGGTTAGTTATTTTGGGGCCACATTTGTCTAAATGCGGCCATTCAATAGATGTTATGAATCGTTATAACTAGGAACAGCTGGTTTGAGGAGATAACATCAAAGATAAAACAAGCTGCCTCATGGAGCTCACATCTTGCTTAGAGATAAATAATACGCAACGAAACATAACTACTACTGCAGATTGTATCTCAAAGGAAATAAGTGCTCAGTTTCTGGAGTTATATTGTTTCCTAGTAAAATCATTACCTGTAGCTGTGTAATCTTGAGCAATTTACTTGCCTTTTTTTATAAAATGGAGATAATCATAATATCCACCAAAAAGAGTTGTTATGAAGCTTAAATGAATTTATGGGCTTGGATAGGACTTGCCTCAACCTGAAGTAAATAAATCTAGTACTTTTTCTTCTTTATGGTGTTTCTTTTTTTCCCGGTACCGGGAATTGAACTTGCGACCTTGAGCTTGCCAGGCAGGCACAGTGCCACTGAGCTAAGTCCCCAGCCAGTTGAAGTAAATAAATCTTAGCTATTGTTTTTGATAGGGTAGTTAAACCTGAATAGGATCCTCAATGACAAAAAGGAGCAAGCCATAAAACATGGGAGAGTAGAGCTTGCCTGGCAGTGGAGAAGCCTAGACAAGGCTCTAAGACAGGAAAAAGGCTAGGACCCAGGACCCGTGTGGACAAATGGGGCTCCTGAGGGGCAAAGTTTTAGGAGATGAGTACCTTTTAAATTTTGTCCCCCAGGCACCTAATCATTAGTCAGAAAGGAGGCTTGAAGTTCCAGCTTTCTGAGGAAAGGAATTGAACCCTAAATGTTCAAAAGTATTTCTTTTCTAGAGAAGGTTTTTCTGTTTGAGCAGCTGGCTTGGATCTCCTTTACTAAGATGGAGGATAAGCTTGAAAATATAATGAGCATTTCAAAATTCAAAATCAAACAGCTAAGTGTAGCTTTCAAGTGGATAGTTGAATATTTAAGTAAGGAGTTCAGCAGAGCCTGTCTAGAAGATACACATTTAGGAGTTACCCATGTACAAGTGGTTTTTAAAACCTTGTTATTTACTCAGCAAGTTTTCAGAATCAAAGATAATATTATTTTAAACTTAGTGGAAATGCAAAGGAACTGGAATACCTAAAATAATTCTGAAAAAGAATAAGTGGAATTGCTGTACTTGATACCAAGTTTTATGTGTAGTATTGAATTCAGGACTTTGTGGTATGGCTCACTAGAACAGAACAGAGAACCTAGAAAGAGCACCATACAAGCGTGATATAGTATGGCCAACTGACATTGAACAAAGATACAAGATAATTCAGTGAAGGAAGGATAGTCTTAGAAAAACAGATGCTGCAGCAACTAACTGTCCATACATTAAAAAAATGAGCCTCAATCTAACCCTCGTGCATTTTACAAAATTGACTTAAAATTGATCATGGATTGCATGAATGTTCATATCAGCATTATTTATAGTAGCTAAAAAGTAGAAAACAACCCAAATATTCGTCCCCTGATAAATGGATCTTGACCTTGGGCTACTTTTATTTGCAGTTGTATGTATTATTTAATTACTCTCTGGCTGTTTAAATCATTTGGTTCTTCCCTGCTCTTTGGATCCATTTTCCCCATAGCCTTCTTTCATGACTGACTTTTCCTATGATGTACCTAAATTTAATAGTGGCAATGCATTTTGATTATCTAAAATTTGTAAATCCAAGCTGAAATTGAAGATCACATGGAAAAATAAAATTGGTATAGTGATACCATCAGTGTTAATTTCCTAGGGCTACTGAAACAAATTACTACAATCTGGGTGGCTTATAACAACAGAAATTATTTTTTCTTTCTACAGTTGTGGAGGCTAGAAGTCTGAACTCATGCTGTCAACATGAAGCCTTCCTCTGAGGCCTCTAAGGGAAGAGCCTTTCTTGCCTCTTCCTAGCTTCTGGTGGTTGGTGGCAATCCTTGGTAGTCCTTTATTTGTAGATACTTCACTTTAATCTCTGCCTGTCTCTTTACATGATATTCTCCTCTATGTGGCTGTGCCGAAATTTACCTCTTCCTTTAAAGACACCTGTCATAGTGGATTAGGGATTGCTGGAATCTTACATGATTCATGTCAACTTTATTGCAATTGTAGGGGCCAGCTAAGTGCATGCCACTTAGCTCAGTGGCATAGCACTTGCCTGGCAAGCAAGAGGTCCTGAGTTTGATTCCCAGTACCCCCCCGCAAAAAAAACAGTTGCTATTGCAAAGACCATAATTCCAAATAAAATCACATTCATAGATTCTGGGTCAAAGTGAACTTTTGGGGGACACCAAGTATACCATATATATTACTTAGTATACTATATATATTACTGAGCCTACCATATATATTACTTAGCATATTTTCAAGACCCCATGTTATAGCATGTATTCACACTTCATTTCATTTTAGGCCGAATAATGTGTGAAGTAACCTATCCTATTAAAAGGCTATTAATTGGAAACTAGAGAAATGGCAGGAACGGAGGAAAGAGGGTGTGCATTCAAAATTTATTGTGAATTAGAATTAATAGGATTTGGTGAGAGGGAAAGAAGTCAAAGCTGACATGACCAGAACATTGAGGAGGAAAACATTTGGAGGCAACAGATTAAGTTTTGCACAGAGATGGCTTAAAAGCCTGAGGAACATCATTGTTCAAATAAGTGTGGAGTTCCTCAGAGGGACTATTGGTTAAGCTTTAGAAGTCATCTTCCTAAGTGATACTAATGGACTTATTAAAATAATGGTTACCATGAGAGAAAGAAGATTGAATAGGGAGCTAGGAATAAATCTTTAGGATCTACTGTTCCTTTAGGAAACCATCAAAGGAAAAGGAAAATAAAGAGGCTTAAGAAATAGTGATCAGACAGGAGACAAAGAAGAGATCAATGCTTCAGAAGTCTTGCACTGAAATGTAACTCAAGATAATAATGACAATAGTCATTTTATAATGGTTCCTATATGTCAGTCAGTACTATAAGAGCTTTATCAATACTGTCAGTTAACCCTCACATGATCCTATTGAAGTAAATGCTATATCACCTTGAAAGCAGGGGAAGATAGAAACATAGATTTAAAGTCATTTGTCCAAGATTGCCTGCTAAAAGGGCAGGAGACAGTCCATATTTTTAAATCATGGATATCTAACACATTTTCGTGTGTCTTGACAGTTCTGTAAGTACTTAATATCTGCCGATTTGTAGAATTTCCACTGTAGCTTTTTGAAGTGCTATTATCTCTCCATTTTATAGATGAAGAAACTTTGGTAGGAAGGTTATATAAACTGCCGAAGAACAAATAATTCTGTTAATTCTCTCACTCCAGAGGTGCTCAGTATAACCTGGAAAGTGTAATGAACCTAAAAAAGTATTCTTTTTTGGGGGGGTAATACTTGTTTATACCATTTATTGACTCCCTCGAGGAAGCACTCTTTTCCAAAAGTTTCACTAGAAAATTAGGTTCAAAATAAACTATGATTCATTTGTAGATAATTCATAAGTTTTATTCTTGGTAATACAAAAGAATCCATAATTTGGGTTTGTTTGAAAACATTTGGGAATTTCCCCAGGGTGACTTCCTGGAATAGGTCAGAAAACCACCTACCTCCTGCTTTAAGGACTGCAGTGTTCTGCATGGTTCACTGATTACAGGAGAATGGCGAAACAAAGGGTGAAAAAGCAGTAGTACATCAGGAATAAATATTACCCAAGTTTTCTCTGGTTCCTGTGTTGTTTTTTTTTTAAATTAACTTTCTAAGCTTTGACTCAGATGTCAGTGATGATTAGCTAATATAGTTCATTTAGCCATAACAAATGATGATGTCTCACTCTGTGAGGAACTTGCCTCAAAGCCAACATTATCGGATTTTTATAGTTCTTGTTTATTTTCTATAAGGGAATATAAAGTCTATATGGTATCATATACAAAAATTTGAAAATATTCTATTGTGATACTGAAATCTTTGTTCTGTTTAAGATCCAGTTGGGCTAACTCCTTTGGAGATAATTTTGGAGACGTAAAAATGGTAAAAATTAT